TTACTGTGAAAATTGTAATTACTGTCGCTGGCAACGCCAGTTTCGCGCCCTCAGCGCAGACTGCTCGATCATGAAGTATCTGGCGCTCATAGGGCTAGTTTCGCGCGCTCAGCGTGGACGTACTGCCTCTTTTTAATTTTGTGGCGCTACTGGCGCCAGGTTGGCGCTGATAGCGCCAATTCCCAGATTTAGACTTTTTCACCTGTTTTCATTGTTTTCACCATTTACCTCACTTTCTGAAATTACAACTATTAATCAAAATTAAATAAATGAAAATGAAAATGAGTTTTGGGTTGCCTCCCAATTAGCGTTTGTTTAACGTCACGAGCCTGACGTACCCCTTGTGAATATGGGGGTTGGAAGCATGTTACCATTGATGACCCAGTCTTCTTGGTCCAGTATTGTGTCCTTCCATGATCATAAGCATGTGGATAAGGAAAAGGGTTCTCATGAACTTTAAACTTAGTTTTCACATGTTTTTCCTTGTTCTTGGGCTTTTCTATCTTAACCTTTGGCTTGCTTTCTTCATGCTGCTGATGGACTTCCTTCTTGTTCACTTCCTCAACCATTTTCTCCGCAATATAGTTAACTTCATCTTCTTAATGCTAAGCTAAGCATAGATTGCGGTATGCTAAGCATGAATGATTTTCAGTGTATGATCTAGACATAGGCTTACATAGGTTGAGATGCAAGTAATGGAGCTTCAATTGTAAGTACCTTGAATGTTGCTTGCTTTCCATCCAAGCGCATTATCAACTCATCCTTAGATACTTCGATTACCGCTCCTGAAGATTATAGGCACACTGACATCTTCATCAATGTCAAGAATAACAAAATCAACAGGAATTAGAAATTTATTTACCTTGACGAGCACATCTTCCACAATACCATGTGCTTGCTTTGTTAAGCGATCGGCAAGTTGAACATTCATCCTCGTTGGCTTTTATAACACCTCACAATTTTAAATCAAGTAATTAAAATATTAAGTGAGCAATCAAGTGATGGATTAGTGAAAATCCAAAAGATTAGGCCAAAATACAAAGAAAAGGCAAAACGGTAATTAGCCAACACGCAACCCTAGGAAGATAAAAATTGAGTAGAAGGTCTCAGATGGTAAAAATAACCCTGGAAATGGATTCAGAACGAAAAATTGAGTGGACAGGCAAGTTTCAGAAAAATCAGTGAATAGTGTTTTTCGCGGGTAAAAATACCGCGTTACAATTTCACCGTAAAACGTGCCATTTGAATTTTGAGCTCTAGGTTTCAAATATGAGTTATAAATGGTTTGTTGAGTTAGGAAATATAATTTTGATGAAATTTGATGGAATTGAGTCATTTTGGGAAAAATTGATGAATAGTGATTTTTCGGTGTAAAAATACTGCGGTATAATTGTACCGATAAGCGTGAAAATTTTATCAGTATTTTAGGGAAACAAAAATATGACATGAACAAGAAAAATACGTAGGTCATGAATTTATGGTTGAAATTAGTGATTTACTTAGAGTTAAATCGCATATGGGACCCACATGTGGTTTAAGTGACTTAAAAGTCACATTTTCATGACATTTTCTCTCTCCTCCCTCTCTTCTCTCCCGCGCGCAGCAGCCACCATGGCCAAGGATTGGTCAAGCTTTCTTCCTTCCATAACTTGGTCATTTCTACACCGAATCCAACGATTTTTGTCTTGAAACTTGTTGGAAAACACCTCCTAAACACATTGGTACCACTCTTGAACCTTGAAATCGCGTGTGTGAGGAGATCTTGCCCTATTACAGCCGCGGTTTTGAAGGTAGATTTGGTGTTCTTGGAGCTTTTAAATGCTCCAATGGTGGAGTATGCTTAGGAGGAGTCTATACCTTCCGTTTGGGTGAGTGTTCTTGCATTTTAAATGGTTGATGGTGATGATTTGATTTTGAAAACCTAAACTTTGATATGATGAATAGTGATGTTAGAGAGCTCAATTTGAAAATGTGTATTAGATGATAATGTGTTAGAATGATGTAGTAATGCTAGAAATGCAATGAAAATTTTAAGTGAAATGTGATGATTTTTAACTTAGAAAAAATTGATGATCATGATTTTGGAATTTGTGAATTTTGGTGTTGAGACTTGTTTGATGATGGTGGCATGATGGTATGATGATATAATAGGTTGTATGATGGTTGGAATGATTAAAGTTGTATGGAAATTCCTTGGAATGCCATAGGTTAAAATTCGATTCTTTGAGGAAAGATTGAGGAATTGATGTTGAAAAATGATTTGGATAATGATTTGTGTAGTTATATGGTGCTTAGATGGGTTGTGTTGTGCTTGGAGAGTGTTTGAATCAATGGAAAAAAATGAATTGTGTTAGAGACCTAAATGAGCCCAGAATGAAATATTTCGCAAAACGATGCGTAAATGTCGAAAAACGGAAAAACGACGATTGAACTAGCCTCTAAACAACCTAAGGGAGTGTTATAAAATGAGAAAGAAAATTTAGGAAAATAAATCTCAAATTTACACCTACATGGCCGAACCTCCAAAGGGAAAAGGGGTGATTTGGCGATTTTCGCGTTTTGATGTAATTCGACGCGAAAATGACGAACCAGCACTTGAACTGGTCTATTGACAACCTAATGAGACGTAACAAAATGAGAAAGAAAATTTAGAAAAATAAATCTCACATTTACACTACAATGGCCGAACCATCAAGGGAGGATGGGGAGGATTTTTGTGTTTTTGCGTTTTGATACTATTTGACGAGTACTGATGGATGTACGTTATTGTATAGGTTGCCGTACGTCGACCTGAATCCCGAATCTTGAATCAGTGAATTGCCCTTGGTCCGGGACCAAGTGGATTGAGGTAAGAAATTGGTTCATTGCATGTGTAATTATAAATTAACATGTATGGGTTGAACTGAGAGTGATTGGGAATGTCCTCTCTGTAGGCATTCCGCTGTGTACCGAGTTGAGGGATAAGCTGTTGCGGAGCTTGTGGAAACACGAATTAAGGTAACCTCTTGGTACTGGGGCTTGTTCCCCTTTTCTGTTCCACCTTGCCAGTTGATGGCAACGGTAGGAAGTGTGTATGAATAGTATAGAACACATGAGCATGCATTATTGCTATGGGTACTGCAGTACCGAGTCTCTGGCCAGTAGACAGTTTTTATTAGCCTTCGGGCATTTTCGGACTTCCGCTGGATAGGTCTCCAGGAGGGAGTTCCAGTTGACTGCGTGTCATGGTGTGTGATCCGGGTAGGAGCACACTAGGAATGTCTTTGGCGTTTTGGTTGGTTTGGGCATCATGGTTGTGGTTTCTGTGAACACACCTTGGATGATACCCATAGGCTTATATATGCCGAGGGCGTACGTGGAATTGGGGTTACCATCCCGTATCGTCGTATTTTGTTTTCTTTATATTCCCCATTCTCTAAATCCCTTGCTATATCCCGTTTTCAAGTGGTTGTTGTATTCTATTGATATGCATCGAAGTGAACCATTGGGTGGAGTTTTCTCCAGAACCTCTTGGTTACTGAGATATATTCGTATATCTCACCCCGTCTCGGGGCATTTATTTCAGGAGGTAGCAGTGGAGCAGGAGCCTCGGGCAAGAGGCCCGCAGAGTGAGCGATGGAGCGTTTCTTATTTTGCATTTTGTTGGCCGTGTGGCCTAGGCTAGACTTAGGGCATGAACATGTCATTTGTATTTATTAGTAGCTTCATTAGCATCTTGTTCATGCCATTTTGCCTAAGTCTAGTAGTGATGTATTTGGTTATGTTGTCTTTTAACTAAGTTGAAATTTTAGAAGAATGTAATTTGAAGTTTTAGTTTCAAGTTGTAATTTGTAAAGCCATATTGTAATAGTATTGATGCATGTCTAACTATGATGGAAGGGCCTTAGGCTTATCTTAGGTTATGATAATATGTATGATGGAAATATGCATGAAAAAGGTGTTAGTGATTGCAACTACTTAAGAATGATTAATATGGACTCTATGTTTAATAACTATAAACTGGATTGGGTTGTAAGTGCCCCAAGGCGTTGTTGGTCCTTGTGTGTGCCACCCATTGGATTATTACTGTATTATCATGTGTTTATTAGGTACAATTGAGGTTAAATGATCTTTTACAAATTTGGGATTATTGGAAAAACAAAGGAAACTCTGGCGAATTTTCTGTAGAATTGGCAGATTTTAGGCGAACTTCGGGAGAGCATATCTCCCTCCATAGAAGTCCCCTAGGGACGTGCCATACGCCATTTTGAAGGTTGAGATGTCCTCTACCTTGTCCAAATTTGAGGAAAATCTGGGTTGATCTTCGGCCTGAAAAAAATAGAGAAACACGGACTGCCCATGTGCCCCTGCACCTGAGGCAGATTCTGGACCGGATTTGGGAAATTAATTCCCGCTTCGTTTCTCGGTCAAATTGAGCGTGTGATATATCAAAATGAAGTTTGAGGTGCCTAGTTTGTAGGATAAAAATTTGAGGGCAAATGGTTGAGTGGATTGAGTGCAGTAATTCGAGCAATGTGAGTGGTTTGGAGCTGTTTTTGGGGTTGTTTGGGCTAATCGCTTATCCAACTTCAAACGGCGATAACCGGAGCAAATGAGCTCCGAATTGAGCGTATTTTAGCTTGTTAAAAAGGGAATTAAGTAACACAAAGATATAATCTGAGAAGTAGGGTTGGTTGCGATCGGTTTGGTCGCAGAAAAACTTAGAGTGTAACATGTTCGAATTGGTATAAAACGTAAAGTTGGAAATTGGCTAAGTGAGTTTATGGGAACTCCTTAGTAACTTATAATAAGTAACGTAAGTGATAAAAACAGTTTAAATAAGTCTTCCGCAAGAGTTTACGGTTACGGTCACAGCTTTTAATTATTACGCCTTTTTATGATTTAAATGCTCGCGTAATAGTCGGAAAAAATTTATTCTCGTTTTTATAAATGAACTGCTGTGATTGTAACTGCGCTTAATATCATAATTAATGTTAACAATACCGGTACGTAACGGGCTGTTACAGCTTTACTTCATCAATTCCTAGCTTGTTCATCAGGGTGAGGGGCATCACATTTATGCTGGCACCAACATCGCATAAGACTTTCTCTATAGTCGTCTTACCGCGTGGAATACTGAAGCTCCTTGGATCTTTCAACTTTGGAGGCAAGTTTTTCTGTATGATTGCATTGCACTCCTCTGTTAGTGTAACAGGTTCATCCTCTGAAAGCTTCTTAGATAATGTCTCCTTCAGGAACTTTGCATACGGAGGCATTTGCTCCAGAACTTCTGCAAAAGGAATGTTAATTTGTAATTTCTTAAAAATATCTAAAAATTTAGACAATTGCTTCTTTTGTTCATGTTGCTTGAGCTTTATGGGATATGGAGGTTTCTCAAAACGTGAGAAATTCCATTGCTTCTTTTGAACTGCAGGAGGTTGCTCCTTTGCTTCTTCCTTGTCTTCTTGAGTGTGCTCATTCTTGCTGTAGGAGCTTCCACTTTTTCTAGATCCTCCCTCTTAGTAGTGATGGCATTGCAATGTTCCCTCGGGTTGATTATGGTATCACTAGGAAATTGGCCTTGATTTCTCTCAGCAAGCTGTCTAGACAATTGGCCTATCTGATTCTCCAAGTTCCGGATGGAAGCATCTTGTTGCGATATGGCGCTGATTCTTCAAGAGTTTGATCATCTTTCTTTTCATGGGATATGGAGGTTTCTCAAAAACTTGTTGCGAAATCGGCAAGTATACCGTTCGTTTCAAGTAATAAAGTGATAAGTAAGATATCGTTCCCTTGAGGATTAATGCACCACTTACTAATTTAACTATTCCCTTTGAGTTTGAAAATATTCGTGATCGTAATTTAAAAACAGAAATTTAAAAACAATAAAATTCAAAAGCATTCAAGACTATCAAGAATATCAAGAAAATATGAGTAATTGAATTTGTAAAGAAACTGCAGTCAGGATGCACTTCACCTCCGATCTTCCTTTATATTCCTAAATTGAATTTTATAACTAACTAATTTATTAGCTCAGACAATTCATTATTTTCCTATCAAATAATTGAACCCTAATGTCTTAGTGTTTTCAACTCTTTAACCCAATTAGAATTCTAGTGTCCTAGTAATTCATCTTGAATTAAGCATTAAGAAAATGAATCTAAAAGTCCGCAATCTATGTAAGCCTATGTCTAGATCATACACAAATTGTTATTCTACCCTTGTCTAAATGTCTAGATCTAACTTCTCATGAGAGTACTATGCTAAGCATGAATGATTTTCAGTGTTGAGAATTTCAAACAAGACTTTTCAATTTCAAAAAGGAAATTAGAATCTAACTTGAATACCCCTCAATAAGATAAATAATACGCTCATCACTCAAGTGTTTGGGGTATAATCACTCAATCTATCAGTGTAATAGTACTACCATATGCTTGATCTGATTCTCAAGTTCCTAAAGATGAGGAACATAAATAACATGCAAAAATTGATCAAAAGGTCTTTTTAGGGTTGTAACGTGGCTTGGTTTAGGGGTAGGAATATTTGGATAGTAGCTAATTTTATTGTGTGAGATTGAAACACATTTAATTCAATTCAAGGTTCAGTCAACTCTCAAACAATATTTCACTACTTCTTCCTTTTAATTCAAGATTTTATTCCTTTTTCACCACCTTTTTCTTTCTCCCTACTAATAAATTATAGCAGAAATTTTCTTTCTTTTCCTTTGCACATCCTCTTTTCAGACAGATTTTTTTTTCTTTGAGGTACTATTTTCCTTTTTATCACTTAATTTTCAATGGAGAACTTCACCTGAAATTTTCTTTGATCAATATTTCAATCTCATTCGAAGGTGAGTCAACAGGAATAATAGCTAAGCAATTTATGGAAAATAGAACAAAAATTAGTCTAAGGCTCAAAGGGGCTAGCAATGGAAACAAATTCTTTTCAGGTGGCTATTTGGCTAAGTGGTTAACAAGAACAAAAGTGCCTTTATCATTTCAACTCATGCATGTATCACAGAGAAACAGATCAAGTTCTAGAGTACCACTACAGTGAGGCCTCTCAAAAAAAAAAATTAAGTGTTTAGGCTCAAACCTCACCGGCTGTGGCATCAAGCTAGACTCTAATCCTCATTTTCACGTCAAAGCATTATCTAAAAATTATCAAAAAGAAAATCATACAAACAAGCAGTCATAATCTCTAGATAGTATTCAATGCAATGTCATGATAGAAAAAATTATTTTGAATTCTCACAGTTTCACTTGTGCCTCCTATAGTTTATTCAGATTTATTAACTAATTCAGCTCATGCTATCTTGGACAAACATTCAGAGACACCAGTACCAGTAGAATAGAAAATAGGAAACTAAAAAAAAAAGTTAAAAGGTTTCAGATATCTCACATGAATTTGAAAATTCCTGCTGAGCATATATATTCCTCTGTATGTATTCTTTAGTCCAAGTATAATATGCAACCAATTCCCAGATTTAAAATATTGTTGTCCTCAACAATAATATTAAACCAAAAATTTTTGCAAACTAAAAACACACACTTAGATCAAAACAAGATATTGATAACAGAGAATATCAACAAGAATTATCAAAATAAGAGTATATATCTACATAAAGTACTAAAAAAAAAATCTAGAAACTGAAAAAGATAAAATAAAATAAAAAAGAATTTTTTTTATAAAAATTGAAAAACTTATTGGGTTGCCTCCCAATTAGCGCTTGTTTTACGTCACGAGCCTGACGTACCCCTTGTGATTATGGTGGTTGGAAGCACGATACCCATTGATGACCTAGTCTTCTTGGTTCAGTATTGTGTCCTTCCATGATCATATGCATGTGGATGATGAGGAGGGTTCTCATGAACTTTAAACTTAGTTTCACATGTTTTTCCTTACTCTTGGGCTTTTCCATCTTAACCTTTGGCTTGCTTTCTTCATGCCGCTGATGGACTTCCTTCTTGTTCCCTTCCTCAACTTTTTTCTCTACAATGTAGTTAACTTGATCTTTAGGTTGAGATGTAGGCAATGGAGCTTCATTTGTAAGTACCGTGAATGTTGCTTGCTCTCCATCCACGCGCATTATCAATTCACCCTTAGGTACATCGATTAGCGCTCTTGGGGTTGTTAAGAATGGCCACTCAAAAATCATAGGTACACTGGCATCTTCATCAATGTCAAGAATAACAAAATCAACAGGAATTAGAAATTTATTTACCTTGATGAACACATCTTCCACAATACCATGTGCTTGTTTTGTTGAGCGATCGACCAGTTGAACATTCATCCTCGTTGGCTTTACTTCATCAATTATCAGCTTCTTCATCTGGGTGAGGGGCATCACATTTATGCTGGCACCAAGATCGCATAAAACTTTCTCTATAATCGTCTTGCCGATGGTGCATGGAATACTAAAGCTCCCTGGATCCTTCAACTTTGGAGGCAAGTTTTTCTATATGATTGCACTACACTCTTCTGTTAGTGTAACAGGTTCATCCTCTGTGAGCTTCTGGATCTTAGACAATGTCTCTTTCAGGAACTTTGCATACGAAGGCATTTGCTCCAGAGCTTCTGCAAAAGGAATGTTAATTTGCAATTTCTTAAAAATATCTAAAAATTTAGACAATTGCTTCCTTTGTTCATTTGCTTGAGCTTCATGGGGTGTGGAGGTTTCTCAAAACGTGAGAAATCTCATTGCTTCTTCTGAACTTTAGGAGGTTGCTCTTTTGATTTTTCGTTGCCTTCTTGAGTGTGCTTATTCTTCCCTATAGAAGCTTCAACTTCATCTTTTTCTAGATCCTCGCATTTAGTAGTGATGGCATTGCAGTGCTCCCTTGGGTTGATTATGGTGTCACTGGGGAATGATCCTGGATTTCTCTCAGCTAGCTGCCTAGACAATTGGCCTATCTGATTCTCCAAGTTCCGGATGGAAGCATCTTGATTCGTATAATAGGCTTTTGTCTCATTTATGAAAGCATCAGTGGTCTGGATATGGTCATTGATGGTTTTAGAAAGCTGCAACATCGCTTTCTCCAATTCAGACGGCTCCTTATGTGGAATAGGAGGAAGTTGTAAGTAATTGTTGGATTTGTAATCCAAATCTTCCCCTTGAACTCTCCTTTGGAAGTTATTCCCTTGAGCATTGTTCTCGTTCCTCTGGAAGTTCTGCGGTGGTCTTGGATCATACCAGACTCCATTAACTTGAAACGGCTCATATCCTACAAGTGTTGGGAACTCATTGGTCTCATGCTCTCCTTTGCAATAATCACAGTTAACTAAATTAACTTGAGCTGTAGAAACTTGCATCTTGTCCATCTTAGCATTCATACTGGCGAGCTATTGATATATAACCTTATGTTCGGCTAACACAACATCATTATTCCCCAATTGAAGAAGTCCATTTGTGATACCCTCCCCTGTATGCATTCAAGGGAGTTGTCTGCTAAGCGGATTAGAGTCATATTATTCGCGGATAAGTTCTGAAAACTTGTTTTTCGTCTCATTAAAATTTTGTTTTCAAATCTGGTCAAAAGAAATTAAAACAGTGTGAAAACTTAGTGAAATATATGGCTCGCTGAAATAATCATTTTCCTGAGAAACCTGTCTTCGTCCAAAAATTATAATAAATCGTGCTTTCAGAATTTCATTGTAAAATTTATATAATCAGAAACTAGACACGTGGGGCTTCGTGTGCATATAAATTATAAGAAATTCGGATGTCTGTAGCCCCACTAAATATAACTCGCAAAGTGCTCGCAAAACAGTTTATAAAAACAACAGTTAAAAAAAACGTTCAGAAATTATTTTCGCAAAATGTTTCCAGAATTTTCCCAAATTTCAAACCGGCCATAAAAACCTTAAAACAGTAGCTAAATAATGCTTCCAACAGTAATCCAAACTTCCCAAAATATTACAATAATACAGTCATCCAACAGACAAACATTCAACAACAGAAAAGCCCAAACAGCAGCAATTAACAACAATTATCCATTTAACCACGTCCTCATATGCTCTTTCGTCCCCCCTGCAATTTTATAAAAATTGCAGCCCCAAAGGGGTGAGAAAAATCTCAGTAGTGTGATAACAAAACCAGCAATGCAACAGTACTAACTAGATACAGAATTATAAAACAGTCGCATCATCAATTCAAATCCGTCAAATACTAATCAAAATCATAGTGCGTATATAACGCCAAAGGTTGCGTATATAACGCCAAAAGTGTACGTTCCTAACACTACGGTGCACGTATCACTAACAAACACAGTGGAGAATCCTGGGTGGCTCCTCAAAAGGGCTCCAACTATGACCTAAGCGGACGGAAGCCAAGTGTCCCATACCCTGGTACCGGAGGGATGCCTATATGATGCGTGCTCAAACATATGCTTACTTTTCATAATTATTTTCAATAATCAGCATGAAAAATATGCAGGTATGCTATGTAATGGTCCGCACACAAAACAGCTAAAATTATGATATGGGTATGCATGACTAAATGATAATCAATATAGCACGTGTTCCATGGATTTCCAATAACAAAATGCTGAACACCAATTACTTCCCAAAACAGAATTTCCAGCACGTCAAGTCCATGAACAACATACGAATAACATATACAGAATCCGAATCCAAAGCATGAGAGCAACATTCACAATCCATGTACTAGCAAGCAGTCACAAAGGTAATGCCACCAGACACTTACCTCGCGTGCCACGAATAAATTACCAAACAGCAGCGAAATAGTCCACGGTCTTAGGGGTTTCGCGTACCTAATACACCATTGCACCAAATCAGAATTTCACATAATTTTTCCTATAACTCACAAATAATTTCGAGGCTTCTAATCTTTGTGCCTTGGTCGAATTATGATGTTTCTAAAGCCACTTATTTTACTGTCCTCAATTTTATTCCATCAACGGTTAGCAAATTTTAATTTTTTTCCAACGTTTACAATCGGTTTCCAAGGTCTTCCAAAAGAATTTAGTTTCTGCCCTCTTATAGATTTTAAACAACATGTGCAGCGAAAATTCCTAAGGTCTCACCCTATGCAGATTCGATTTTCTAACAGTAGCATGGTGTTCAGAATATTTCATTCATATAATGACTCCTACTACTACCAAGGTGCGCTAATGGGAGCCTAAAACATGCTGTCTATTTATTTTAATTCATGCAAAGCTTGGGATACACTAAGGTATAACTAAACAGTCCCACACTTTAGTAAGAGGCCATTTCCAAGTTTATTTTTATGTTTTCGAGTTAGGTTCCAAAGGGATTTAATATGGCAGGAACAAAAGGAGATAAAATAATATAGAAGAACTACTTCCTAAACATGATTGACGACTTGAACAGAAGAGGTGAAGAGGGGCTCGAAATTTGTGCTTACCTCTTGCAAGCACACAAAGAACACGGAATGGACAAGGAGCAGCACCTTAGCTTCCTAGATCCACGAAATAGCAAGTTCAGCCTTCTAAATGGTGACCGCGCGCACAAGAGGAGGGGAAAAAAGTGCTTGGATTAGAACCTACATTCAAGAGAACATCTCCATCAACCCGTCGTGGTAGGAGAATGCAAGGGAGAAGAAACTATACTCTACCTCCTTGTATGAAGCTTCGGCTGAGCAAGAAGAAAAGAGATGAAGGCTTGATGATAATGGTTCTCTAGAGGTCCATGATTCGAGCAAGAATGGTAAGAATGATATGAAATTATTTCTGGATGCTCACTCACTACTTGGCTCACGATTTCAGGGAGGGGGAAGAAGATGGTATATCTGAGTTCTATATTGTTTCACAAGACAAATGCTTCACCCTATTACCCTAAATCAGCGCTTGGAATGAATGAATGGGAGGTTTAGAGGGCTGATTTTAAAAGCCATCAAAGGTCAGAAAATTTTGGGTTGTCTCTCTCCTCTCATGCGTCTACAAGGATGCAAAGAGGGTAAGATTTTTGCCCACTCACGAGACATGCAAACTGACTCCTATCATCTTACTGGTTGCATGTTCAAAGGCTGTTTTAGCTTGGATAGTGCATCAAGTAATCAGCTGCCTTTTTACACCTCCTAGGCGCACATGTGAAGGGAAAGCAAGGATAGAGTTTTGCCAAGTGGTGATCACTAACCAATTAAGGGCTGCCTTGTGGGATTTCTTAGAATGAGATAAGGATAAATACATGATTGGGCTGAATCTTAAACACCCCTTAAGACCCTAAGCATTCGGCCTTATCATGAGATGAGGACTGTAAGAACTCGCACCGTTAATTAAGAAAGTTAATTAATTAATTATGTGCAATTAGGAAATAATTCCATAATTGACCCTAATAATTATTATGAGGCTCTAATAATTATAGTAAGTGATTAAGAATGCTAAAAGTCGCTTTTTGGAAGAAAAGTGCAGATACCGGTTCTGCTAGTCGGTATAAATGTGTACCGAAAAAGTATCCTGGAAAATTATAATAAGTGCATAATAATTACTAGAATAATATGTAGGACTTGTAAAATGAGTTTCAAGTCAAAATAAGAAGAACTGGTGCCAGAAACTGGTACTGGCTATGAAAAATGCGTACTGGAAAGGTGCTTCGAAAATTATAAGAAAAATATGATAATTCTTGTAAAATTGAGTAGGTTAAGAATCCTGAGTTTGGGATTAAGATGCTAAGCGTAGCAATTAAAGTTAATACAGTGTGTTTAAAGCTTAAGTGGCTATATAAATGAAAGTTGCACCCAACCCTAGGAGGATTCTGATGTTTTGTGCGTGAGTTGGTGGCTGGTCAGGGGTGTGTTCACTGTTCCATTGCATGTTCTTTATCTCTTGTGACCAAACCACCATTTTCTCTTGATTTTCCTTCTCTTTGACCTTGCAAACACTTGGGTGGGTGCATTGTGAGGTTGGGTTACAACTTTTGCTAAGAGAAGGGTGCTTCTGGAGTGTGTTTTGGTTCTGACTTTGGGTTGTTGAGAGGGTGTGGACCTTTGGCTTGGCATTGGTGGTGCCAAGGAGCCATCTTTTGGTGCAAGAACCAACTTTTGTGAAGGCATTTTCGTATTTCCTTGGTGGTCTGAACCTTGGAGGTAGATTGGAGAGCTCCAAGAGCCTTTACTTCTCTGTTTTGATCCTTTGGTGAGTTGTACAACCTTGATCATGGGTTTTTATGGGTTAAAGGTGATGTCTTTGCATGTTAATAGGTTAAGCAAGTAACCAGCTGGTATGTAAACCTATGAGGGTATAAAAATGCATGCTTTAACGTGTTTAAGTGTTAAAAATGGAACCTTGGAAGGATATCTTCGTGAAATGCAGGAACTGCATTCTGTCGCGAAATATACGGATATCTGTGATAACTCTCCCAAATGAG